TAAAAGCGGTTATATAGGGGATTCTATAGGGACTATATGGGGTTATATAGGGTTTAGGGTTTAGGGTTTAAACTCCTTAAAAGGGGTTATATAGGGGATTATATAGGGGACTGTTATAGGGGGTATTAAGGGGGATACTAGGAGTTTAGACTACAGCTCACGTGTCCTGAATGAAGGGCCTGAAAGGACCCATGTGGGACTTGGCCTAGGATTCTGTTCCTAAAATGGGGGAAACTTAAATAGGGACCCGCATTACAACAGGAACCCCAACATAGGGACCACATTTTAACGAACTTAGGGAAATCCCCATGGCGGTCCGCAGGAGGTTCCGGATTTAAGGATTTAGGGTTTAGGCTTAGGTTTTATGCGGGTCGATCCCTGATTCCCAAACGCAGGACACAAACCTTAAACCAAACCTAAGGCTCAGGGTTTAAGGTTTAGGGCTTACGGGTTAGTGGGTAGATTATCAGGCAGGCTTTAAGGTTCAGGCGGACATTCTCGGTGTTTAGCTATGCACCCTAGATGCTGAACTATCCTCTTGTAGCCGAAACCCCGTACCACGCCCAGCAAGAAACAAAGAAGGCCCGGCAGACTGAGAGGCTCACCCTGCTTAGGATCAATGGGGCTTAGCACTTGGATGTGTCTTCCTCGCATACGCCCGAGCCTGGGGAAGTAAACATACAAACCTGCATCAAACTTGGAGCCAAGTGTACAGCCTCGACATGGCCTGTAAGGGACTGCCACCCCCCAATATTAAGTTCTCCCAATAGTCATGAACAAACCCCTATATATCCCCTTAAAGGGGCCTAGGGTTTCCATTTTCTTTTCCATTATCCCTAAATAACCCCTATATTATACCCCTGAACCCTTTAAAGGGACCCCTAATATACTATAGTAGTTTCCACTTTCTTTTCCATTATCCCTACATTACTAGTCGAAGAGCCTAACCACTGACCCCCGCAACCTCACCTACACAAAGCAAAGCCTGCACATAGCGACCGCGGGGCATGTGCGATGGCTCCTTTGGTCATGGGGTTTAGGGTTTAGGGTTGAGGGTTTAGGGTTTAGGGTGGACTAGCATCTATGGGACGACTGGGCTCAATGCTTAAGGATCTGAGTTTGGGGGACCAGAACTTTGCATTCAGATGATAAGAGCTGAGTTCAGACAACGAAGCCCCCAGAACAAGACAACCTAATCTCTGGGAAACACCAAAAGTTTCCCGAAACCTAAACCCTGAAATCCTTCGAGCCTGACAGTGGGACCCAGGGCCACGGAGTTCAGGCTTTAGAGACTCTTCATTCCTTTCTCTCTCACTTTTTTCCTAATCTCTTAATAGGGAATGGGCAATGCTGTGAAAAGAAAGGAATGGACATAAACTTTAAAAAGATGGGGTTCCAGGCTTCATCAAGCCCGACGCTCAACACAACCTCTACTGCGAACGGGCACGTGCCCGCCAAAAGGGTACTTTTCTTGGGTGTCCTTAGATCGGATACACGGCAACCACTTTTGTTGTTGCAAAAGCAAATCCAAAGTGGCAAGACCGGCCGGTTTTCATCTCCTCCAAGCACATTCTCTCATGCCATCCAAGAATTGTGCGCACAGCAGCAAAGATGGAAGACCCTGCAAGCCCTACAACTGATGTGAAGGCCCCATAACAAAAACATATTCCCTGCCCCCTTTTCTTCCCAAAACACATGAGGTTCCCTGGAGCCCCAATCCCAAGGACTCCCTGATAAACCCCAAACCGCATGGGTTGTGTGGAGGCAGGGCCATCTGAGCGTAGAAATGAGGGATGTTTGTGGGGCAGTCGAACCACAAGGCATGTGATTCTTCGAATAAATTCTACAACCCCCAAAAAAAGAAAATGATACTACCCATGCTTTCAAGATACTACTCGCACCATCGTCGTCGCAATTAACCCTTAACCCCAAACCCTAAACCCCCCAGGTCCTCAGTCCTCTGGGATGTCATCCACCTCCTGAGGCTCATTGTTGTTGTCCAGCTTCTCCTCTACGAAGAAGATGACAGGAGTCGCGCTCAGTTTCTCCACCTGGTCTTGGGATTACGGTGTAGCGTTTAGGGTGTCAGTAGCCTGGACTCAATGAACATGGTAGAGAAACACTGAAAGGGCACTACAAAGGCTAGTAGTGTCTGTTTGAGAAACGAGCCTATTGGGATCCATGTTACTTCAAGGGTGGTCAGCAGGCTCAAACGGGTACATCTGTGACTGGCACTTCTGAATGATACCCCTTCCGAAACCAAGATGGAAGCCCACAGAGGGGTCTCGACAAACTGCTGTCCTTGTGGCTAGTTTGGCGGAAGGATACCATGAAGGAGCCAGGAAGGATACAATCCCGGCTTCAAGTTTTTTCGAACCGCGAAGCAGCACTATAAATTAGCAATAAGGGAGAATCAAATGGAAAAGGAAATGGAAAATGAAATGGAAACTGGATTCTAGCGTATGGCACCTAGGTAGGGGTGTTGGAGTATTCCTAAGATTGTATTCTAGGGTTGGGATCATCCTACGGGGGCTGAGATCTTAAGATAGATGTTATCCTAGGGCCTGGGGGTGAGATCTTAAGATAGATGTTATCATAGGGTGGGGGCTGGGTGGTGCCATACACCTAAATAGACAAGGTATCATCTAACCGTATAACCCCTAAACGAGGAACACCCTAAACCCTAAACCCGCTCCTGGGTTGGCAAATTCCATTTATGCTTAGGGCATGGGCGTGTGGGTTTGACTCTCAAAGTGCAGATGTCAGGGTAGGGCTCATGGTTTGAGGCCTAAGGTTTAGGGTTTAGGGTTTAGGGTAAGCACTAAACTCTTGCCTCTAGAAATTTACAGTAGAAAGCTGGATAACGACCAGTATTGTTCCCTGAAAGTCCTTATCTAGTAACATTATAAAGTACACAAAAAATAGCTACTTGGCACCTACATGAAGGGGTGCATGGCTCAAGCTTTGGAATTTTGGGCACGTAGTGATACTGATTTAAAGCCAAATGGGTTCCCAGATTGAAGGTCAGACATAAGATGCTATCGAAAAAATGAAATAGCCAAGCACAAATGTCAGACATGCCTAACATTCCAACCAAGAGGAAGCAACGTGCAGTCCAAAGGAAAGACTCGTTTCCCGCCATGCTGCAGCAAATGCGACCCATACCGTCAAAATATCCTGAACCCAAAACCCTAGACCCTAAACCCTAAACACAGTAGTTTGGGTTGGGGGATTCCAGAACTTGGAGATCCCTGTCTAGATGGAGTATAGGTATACCCCAGTACTTGGAAAACCGGAATTCTGAAGACATGGCATCTGAAGCCTTTCAAGTTTTACAGTTTAGGACTCAGGGTTGCCTGAACCATAACACCCACCTCCCAAGCTCCTAAAAAGCAGTATTTGATAGTAGGGGGCCGTGTGGTCTTGAGTATCAGAGGAAAGAAAGAATACAGCAACCTTCATCCTTGAATGCCCATACCTTAACTCTTCCAAGTCCGCAACATAGAACCCCAAGCAAAACTCTGAAAACCCAACCTTAAGATGTCAAATCCGAAACTCTAAACACCCTCAGCCCTAAACACTATAAATTCTTGAAAGATGAGCACCAAAACTTTGAGCGCTGCGAACCCCTTCTACTCAAGTGGCAGTTTCGGAGAAAGAGGATCTAGACTTCCCCTACATTAAACCCTAAACCCTTGCATCTGAATGTGTGGGTTTAGGGTTTTGGGTTCGCCTATACCCTAAATACCCTAAAAGCCTGCAGCCGAGACCTCAAACCCGAAACCCACAGAGCTCTACGACTACGAGATGGGGAGGGGGCCACTCCTGTAGGTAGGGCTTAGGGTTTAGGGTTTAGGATGACCCCTACGTAATCCTCCACATTGGCGACCTCAAATTCCTGCGTTCCCTAAAATGCCCTCGGCTTCTCCATTTTTGGCAGAAGCCAAAGTCCAGGGTCAAGGGGTTCAGGGTTCAAGATTTAGGGATATTGAGGCAATATTTGGATAATATGGGGATAATATAGGGTAATATACCCTAAGGGTCCAAGGACCCAAGTAATGAAGTTTTAGGGCCCAAATACTCTAACATTAATGGTATTTGGGCCCTAAAACCCTCTTATCTGGGTCCTTGGACCCTTAGGGATAAGGGAATAGAAGGATAATGAAAAAGAAAATGAAAACTACTATGTAAGGGTTTGGTATTACCCAAATCTCAAGTACCTAATTATTGGGTACATGGACCCTAAACCCTATATACCCTTATATATCCCTACATATCCCTATATATCCCCCTTAAAAGGGACCTAATTATTGGGGACTCAAACAACAGCCCAGCCGCCCGGCAGAGGAGATGGCAAAGGCTTTGCTCCGTGAAGCCTGGAAACTCCTGGGTTGCTGTTAAGGAACTTAAATTAAGCTACCATAATGGGTATATATAGTAAATAATAGGGTTTCCCCAATATACCCTAAACCCTGAACCCTAAAAAACCCTATAGGGTTTCCTCAATATAGTAACTCAATTTAAGTTCCTCAACAGCAACCCAGACTCCTCCAAGATCCTCTTGGCCGGAAGCCTGCAGAGACAAGGCTTCTGCGGCTTGAGGGTTCAGAGCTTTAAGTTTAGGATGTAGCTTTCAGGGTACAAGATTTAGGTTCAGCCCTTAACACTCGGTGGGGGCAGTACGCAAGGTTTGAAGGGTTGAGGTCTTAGGGTTGAGGATTCTAGCTTCCGTGCTGCGAGCTCATGGTAGGTGATGGAAAGTTATACCAACTGTCTATCCTAAGCGCTGAACACCACGCCCAAGACTCTAAACTCCTCAACAATCACCACCCTAAGCCCTACGCCGCTAAATCCGAAACCCCACCAGGATCGGGTTGAGCATCCCCTCAGTCCAAATATTGCCTGTCTAACGGACCACTGACGCTGGAAAGCCTAACCGAAGCGTTAATGATTTAGACAGCCAACGCCTGACACCTCTGACATTGCAGTTCTTAGGATTTAGTGTTGGGTGCAGGGATAAGGATTTCGAGTCTCGAAGTGCAGGATTGAGGAGTCTTCTTGGTTTAGCACTTGGGTCAGGGTGGCTTAGGTCATTCCCACGTTCAGCAACCTTGCCCCCTACAGCAACTGTCCTCACAGGGCTTATTAACCGGCTATTGTACTTCCTATTACCCATTATGGTGAAACTGGTACTGTAAGGGGAATGACAAAGGTGAAAACCAGGCGTACAATGTGCTCCATGTATCTCCCAACAACCGAACCGTGGACCCCAAACCCTAAACCCGTCCCTTAGTGTTTGTTTTAGCAGGCCATTTGAGGGTTTAGGCTTTAGGGTCAAAAGTAGTGTAGCTTAAGGGTTCAGGAGTTTAGGTTTGAGGGTTTGAAAATTTCGATATGACCCCATATAACCCCTATCTACCCCCTATATACCGCTACATACTCCCTAAATAAACCCTACATAATCCCTATATACCCCCTATATAATCCCTACATACTCCCTATATAACCCCTATATACCCCTATATAATCCCTACATACCCCCTAGAAAACCCCTACATAAGCCTAAACCCTTCGTACATCTTCCTAAACCCTAAATAGCAGCTTCCATTTTCTTTTCACTTATCCCTAGATATCCCTATATTATCCCTATAAATGTATAAATATACATATGTACATTATCCCTATAAATATTTTTTTTTCTATGTATATTATCCCTATAGAACCCCATCTTAGCCGCCAGGCTGCAGTAGCGGCAGCGAGGGGTCCGCTGCAGGCGCGGGTGCTGGCTTTCGGACACCCTTGTGTCCTACCTTCCGCTTCGCCTTGTGCCCACGGAACAGAGATGTTTAGGGCTATATGGGGGTTATATAGGGGTTATATTGGGCTACTGGAAGTAATATGGAAACTACTGTTTAAGCTTTAGGGTTTGGGATCTAGAGTTTAGGGCTACCTTCTTCAGGGTCTGCAATCTACAAAAACATGCATTTTAGGCTCTATAGCCAGGTAGGGCTTTCTTGTTTACACCTTGCACAGCAGCTTCTCAACGTCGGGGAACCTAATCTTTCCCAATACTGTGGGGTCCGGGACCCCGAAGAAAGGAATCTATGACTTTGACGAACCCTCTCTCGACCACCCATCTGATCCTACCCTAAATCCTAAGCCCTCACAGCTTAGGGCTTAGGGCTTCGGGCTGAATAGTTAGAACCCGGTTCTGTGGCTTCTTATGCTTTAGGTTAGGCCCCACCAGGGATAATGATATTTCTGGTGGGTTCTCGAGTATCTTTACGCCACTATTGCTCGGCAGGGTCCTTTGTCGAGAAAGAATATTGCTCAAATAGGGATCCTAATATTAAGGCCCTTAAAAGGAAGGGGGTTTATTAATCATGGGTCTACAACCCCTAAACCCTAAACCCTAAACCCCTAAGGCCCTTAAAAGGAGGGGGTTTATTAATCATGGGTCTACAACCCCTAAACCCTAAACCCCTAAACCCTAAACCCTAAGGCCCTTAAAAGGAGGGGGTTTATTAATCATGCGTCTACATAAGGCTGGACCATCGCCTTGGCATTCTTCCCCTCCCGCAGGGGCCTAAAGGACTGAGACACTTGGGGAAAACAAAACTATGGCTACGTAAGGACAAGATGGGAACAGTGTTGGTAAGTTTTCAGACTCAAAACCCCCTAAACCCTAAACCGAGAATGATGAAGTGAGTATGCAGTGCCTATAATGATTAATATTATGAATATTCTTCGCATGCTTACCATGTATACCATTATCGCTATCATTACTGTTATTACGACTATAACTACTATCATTATTACTGCTAGGCTTCTACATTTACACCTGTCCAGAACTGCCGTGCGCTAGGTACCAGCAGCACATTGCTCGACCTTGTCTCTTTCAGATGCACTCCGTCAAGGGGGGTATATAGGGGTTACATGGGGGTTATATATGGGCTGCATAGGGGTTATTTATGGCTGATATAGGGTTCAGGGTTTAAGGCTTCCCCAAAATTAGGGGCTTCACAAGAAGGACATTATACTACTATTCTGGGTCCTATATTGGGACCCCTATTTTGGGTAAGTACCAAATTCACCGCCACCTCATAATCACATCTTGAACGAAGCTCATTCAGGGCCCCAGCTCAACGCAGCTCGAAATTCCTGTTCTTTCATCTTGTTGGGGATTAGTGCGGAACAAGGTACATATTCTATGGGGATTCCATACGGAGTATATTCCCTCGTTCCCTACTAACCCTCAGTAAGTCATCCAAAAGCATCAACCGCTTAGGTCAGCCCGAACGCTCAACCAAAAGCTAGCATTCCCATATTCCCTGGGAATATTATTCCCATATTATGGTAACTCAAACCCTAAGCCTAAACCCTATATACCCATGATTATAATGGCTTATTTTAAGCTCCTTAACAGCCGCCTGCTCCTCCTGCTTCTTCACCTGCAACTATGAAACTACTGGTTCTTAGTAGGGAATAAGGGAGTATTATCCCTCCATGATACCCAGGATACCTATATAATACATTCCCTTATTCCTTACAAACCCTACACCCTAAAACCAAACCCTGCATGTGTATATATATATATATATGAATATATATATATATATTCATTCCCTATGCAATATATTCCCTCATTTCCTCCTGAGCACCAGTTAGTCAAGAACAGGAAGGCTGCTGGGCCACTGTCGGACATGACTTTTCATGAATTCTTCTGCCAAACCCCCTAAAAAAGGTGTACAGAGCTGCTATGATTACTACTACCCCAAATAAAGATCAAGGTTTAGGGCTTGCCGGCGAGGGTTTGAGGGTGGAGGCCTTCTTGCTTTATGGGCTTTGGGCCGAAGAGCTGAAATTTTGCTTTCCAGCTTCGGGTTCTCAAGCCGTGAGCAGTAACAATATCTTTTCTCTATAACTATTAATACTGGTATTCTACCGACGATGTTCATTCATCATGTCACTAAGATTTATACTTCATTGGTCACTATCACAATATTCTCACTACTGTTGCTGTCGGCGGAAAGTTTCAGAGGTTTTGGCGCCAATGCAGACCTTGTACCTTGGGATCCTAAGAAGGCGGTTACAGACACACACACACACACACACACACACACACACACACACCTGTTCGGTTGTTTGGGAACAGAAGCCAAATATCGACAGAACGGTGATCGTTGGAATGAACAAGAACTTGCCGTCTTTCTTGTGACGACTCCAGCAGCAAAGCTTGTCATATAATAGGCATTCAAAGATTTATCATTACGACTATTGCTCTGACTCTGGCTCTGTCTACTACCGCACGTTGATAGTTGTTATTGCGCCAACTACCATTGCATGATCTCATCCTCCACCTGGTCCTTAACCCTACACCCACCACAAGGCCAACACTTCTTTTGACCCTAGGACCCTAGGAGCCTCCTTCAAGTGCTGAACGCTCTCCTCAAGATATTTGATGAAGGGCTTTCGCCCAGGCAACTTGAGCTTGAAATGAGTGTACCTCAGGGTAGAGTTTGGCGTGTGAGGGGAAGCGGAGGGGCGCATGTTCCAATAGAAAGTTCTGTTTTTCATCTAGCTGGGTAGCGGTAATGCTTACATTAAGTTGTTGATCGGGTCTGCGATGGACAAATGAGAGGCGCTTCGATTGAGCAGTTCACACACAACAAAGAAACCTTCCCCGCATATCAAAACAGACCAGCTACCAGAGCCTATGAAGGTCTACATTGTCATATCATGACTGTCCTGTATGCCTGGGCCTAAGCATCTCCAGAGTTGTTGACTTTAGACTTTCTGAGGGAATGCACTGATGACTCCCAAACATGAAAGAGGCTCCTGGTAGGACCCTAGAAAAGCTTGCATTTTTAGAAGCCTCAAGTTTGCCAGCCCAGGTGCACGCATCTAGGGATGGTACCAAGGTCATAGCAGAAGTTGTAGGTGCAGAACAGCTTGTCGTACTCGTCCTGTACTAACTAAGGGTAGCAGGGGTTGGGTCAGGGTCTTCAACTGCGCCTTCACTGCTACGAACGCGTCCACCACAATGGCCAAGAAGAAGTTCAAAAGAGTGAAGAAGACGATAAGCATGAAGGAGGCAGCGTAGAGCCAATACATGGCCAGTGACAAACCTGGCTCGGATAAGGATTGAGGGTCAATTTAGGATTTAGAGCCTAGGGTCTGGTTGTAAGGTTTAGGAACTTAGGCTTAGAGTTCGTGGATTAACAAAGCAGCAGACAAGAAGTGTTAGGAAATAGTACCAGCACTCATACAGCTTCCTAGATTGCAACAACAAACCTTGGCTGCAAGCGCAAAACCCTAAACCCTAAACCGCATGAACTTTGCGACAAGGCTACCTTAAGCACCTGCTGGGGTTCAAATAGTCGTCAATGGGGCTAGGGCCACAAGGGGCCTAGTGCTTAGGGCTTACAACTATGGCTAGGGTTTAGGGCTTAGGGTACAGATAACCCCACCTAGAGATACCGATAACTTCCAAAATGACTGACTGCCTCGAATTGCCCCACACATCCACCACAACTTCCAAGGGCTCCGGGAGCAGAACTCAGGGGTCACAACTGAATACTGCACCAACAGATGAACCTTTGTAAATGTTTGTGTTTGGAACCTTGCTCGGAGGACCTGACCCTAAACCCTAACCTTAGCTCTTGGAGCGTCCTAGTCAATCCTGCACCCCATTTCAAGACTGAAAACACTGAAAGCCCCAACACACTCTCCACAAGGGAGTAGCCAAAAGCCAGTGTTTCTTCTGGGTCTCCCAATTCTGATCACTACCAGATTATCAGCGGGGACCTTTGACTCCCGTTCTTGACAATACCCAGCATTCCACGCAATCCGGCGAGGCACCTGACAAATTCTCTGCTCCATCCACGAAAATGAACTCGCCGAAAAGCATGCGGACCTAGACGTGTGTTGCGCGTCTGTAAATCTGTGTCTAATAGTAAGCACGCATAGTACAAGTTAAATATAATGGCTCGCAAGAATAACTCTTGGCTCCAGGTTGATTTTCTGTTGGCCATGTACACTCCCGGAAACTAACATGGAAACCCAAAAAGGGCCCTATAAAGACGGTCCTTCTAAAAGGGAGCTATATGGGTTTCCATGTTAGTTTGGGGGAGTGTATGCATGGATTCTCCCGAAATTACTTTTGAGGGTTTACTGTGTTTCATACATGGATTGTGACAGGATGCGTGGCTAGATTTACTGCCGTAAGGCCGTAATGCAGGAGTGGGACTTATGTGAAACACTGCCAGCCACAACTCAGTAAAAGGGCCGGTGAAGCAGGACTTAGGATGCAGTGTTCATCACCAAGCCAGCACTTTCTGCTCTTTCTTTCTAGACCCCTTCTTCCAAATCATCCAGACCCAGACAGAGTGGTTCAAGAGGAGGTGTAATGCTGCATGTACTGGCCAAGAAAAGCAACCATAAGACCGTATCTGCCTATGGGTTGTACAGGAGCCAATGTTTGGGAAGTCACCCCCAGGCCTCCAGCTGCAGGGTGAGTCTCCAAAGAAGAGCTTTTCAGAGGACTTAGTAAGTAAAGTTACAAGCCATGCAATGAGCCTAGCTATGCCCATTATTCCCCACAAATTGAATCCCATTGAGCCTCCAAGAAGTGTTTACGCTAGGCCTGCACTCGCTATTAGTGTGGTATGTCCTTACTTCGGGACCCTAGGGACACATAGGGGTTACAAAGGTATTGTGAAGTCCTTGCAAAGGATTATACTGTGCATGTCGGAAAATCTCTTTCTCTCTCTCTCTCTCTCTCTGTGTTTCTCTTCCTCTGATACCACTGCTACTTAATGGGTGCCCAGCCTATGGGAATCGCGGTGCGATCCCACATAATTCCAGCACAACCCCTGTCAATTGACAAAGGTGGACTTTTCGAGGCCTTTTTGACTCATCCGACGCTCACAGCGGGTATTGCGTCTTTGGGCTTATGATTTGAGGTTTTTAGAGTGTAGGGTCTGGAAAGCAACAACCCCTCCCTGCCCAAGCCCCAAGCAGAGTTCTTTCATGCAGTGGTCAGTCGGATTAACTGGGATAGATATAAGGACCCTGCAGAAACTAGTCTTGGGCGCTTCAGAGGCAATATATGGGATCCATGGCCCATGATAATCAAAATCATTACCAATAATATCCCATTCCATTCCCCGCTAGAAATTGCACCTTTAGCTCCCTTGATATGAAATAGAGAAACCCCAAACCTCCTAAAGCGACAAAGTCGTAATATAGCCTCACCTAGATGCCGATTCCCCATAACTTGGGTTTTTGCCTTAGGAATAAGGACCATAATAATTTGAATATGTGCGCTATCTTCTAAACCAGGATTAGAGCTGTTCCTAGTTCTTCAGACGTCTACAGTCAAACCCTCCATCCTAAACCCTAAACCCTAAATAGTACTTCCCAGCTTATTTTCCATTATCCCAATATATCCCCAATATTACCCCTATATACACCCCATTATACTATAGTAGTTTTCCATTTTCTTTTCCATTATCCCTATATAACTCCAATATCACCCTATACAATCCCTATATAACCCTTTAAGGGACCTAGGGCTTCCCTTTTCTCTCCCCTAAACCCTAAACCCTAAACCCTAAACCCTAAACCTAAACCCTAAACCCTAAACCCTAAACATGGCCTGCGTCTCGCAGGACCCTCCAAAGGTGCCAAAGAGTTGGATCTGGCCCCCGAGGAGGAAGTGCGCCATGAAGGCCAACCTCAAACCCAAACCAGCCAAGGTTTTAGGATTTGGGGTTGTATAGGGGTTACATAGGGGATATATTGGGATAATAGAAAAGAAAATGGTAACTACGATTTAAAGTTTCAGGGTTTAGGGTTTAGGGTTTAGGGTTGAGGGCTTGGGGTTTAGGGTTTAGGCTTTAATGTTTTGGGCGAAGGTTTTTTTAGGGATTCAGGCTGAACTTCCCAAAGCTCATGCCAAACTAGACACTCCCAAAAAAGATAACCCCTATCACCCTCCTAGCAAAAGGCTCCAAATTCTGATTAACTTGACGGTCCCAACGAATGCTGCCGGCAGTGTCATGCAAGTTCAGGAAGGGTTTGGGCACATACACAGTGCGCAAGGAGTACACTACCCTAAACCGAATGGAAACTGATACAAGCTTCTTTAAAACACAGTAGCCTACCAAAGGCACCTTTCAAAACTCCATGCGTGATGAGGATGCGGGACCCTCGGGAACCCATACTCTAACTAGAGGATCATGCATAGTGTTTCGGAGCTGGCAAGGAGGATAACTACACTTGAAAGGAAGTTTAAGCCAACCTAGCGTACGTTCACCCCAAGTAGAGCTGCGCATGGACCAAAGAAGCACTGCTGCTATCATACGACAAGTCCTCAAAAGGATTTCAGCGGCTTCAGGTTCAGGGTTTGGAGAGTGCCAAAGCTGAAGCACGGCGCATTCAATGTTGTAGACCCGTACGTAAAGGGATCACAACCGGGGACGCTTCTCAAACGTCGTGGGCTATGTGAGGATTCCAAAGTTGTTCTGGGAATACATATCTGAGACTTTATATGTGCGTTTTCAAGACAGTGCTATGCAACCTCAAACAAGGGCCCCGCTAGTAATCTCCTTGTAATCTCTTGATATCCCTTGGAGTCCCTATAGTCCCCCCATGTTCGGAAACTCACAAAGTCCCCGTTTAACTAACTGTTCAAAACACAGTGGGTGCCCCCTTGCAGGTTCCGGAGATCTATTGCCCTAAGCCAGGTACCCTAGCTGCTGGTTTCCTGGCTCCAGAAAGCTTTAGCTAGAATAGGATTGTATTTAGGGTGTAGGGGTTTAGGGATTTAGGGATTTAGGGTTTAGGGATTGGATATACCCCAACAGTTTAAAGGTTATCCGCGCAGCAGCAAACAAACCTATTCTGGCGACCGCCGAGGATGAGAATTTCTCATCTTCCCAAAACCCCACATGAGCTACAGTCAATATTTCCCCTGCAATTAATGTATATACATTACGGACTGACCCTAACTACCAATCGGACCCGGATGACCACCCTTAATGGTCCTGCGGTCAGCCGAAAAATAACACTAGGTCACGTTCGGATTATGTTAATTAAAGATCCTTGTACAGAAGAGGCCATTGGGGATACACTTCCTGAATTAAAGGGTGATCCTGACCAACAAGGGAACCTATCTAATGGCCGTTTTAGGGACAGGCCATTTTGGGACAGGTATTTAGAACAACTACCACATGTACACCCACCCCGGTTCCTAAGGAACCACATTTGCATGGACTTGGAGACGTGTCAAGGAACTTGATAGCATGCTGTACGTTTCTGCGTCTAGGGTTTAGCCTGCGATACTGGCGCGGGGCTTAAGACCTCGCACACTACATGAGCCACTGTCTAAACTCCTAGTATCCCCCTTAATCACCCCTTTAGTAGTCCCTTATATAATCCCCTATATAACCCCCTTTAAGGAGTTTAGACTATAGCTCACATGTCGGAAGAGAGGGCTTCCCAATGCAGACAGCGCAATCGAAGGGTTATGAATGTAAGGTTTGCGGAAAGATCTAAGACTTTCCGACACAAGCACAAACATGTTTGAAGCGATGAACCATGAAAGCTTGTCCATTTTAGAACTTGCTTCTTCAGAAGTTGAATGGTGTGAAGACGAGGGGGGTGACATTGTAACATCCATTGCTTCCGGGCTTTAATAAGAAGAGGAATTTTGAATCCAAGCCCCAAGAAATTAGGACCCTTTCACTGTCATGTGACTATGAATACGAGGATTCTAATTCTAGGGGTGGGGCTACCAACATCAAACGCCTTTGTCACGCCCAGCTTGCATTTCAGCAGCCTTTTGCTTTTCTACGTCACTCTCAAATCCTGAGAGTTGGAGGTCACCTAAAACCTCTAGGCCTTGAACCTACAAGTCAAAAACCCTACACTCGAAACCACCAAAACCCGCTTGTTACTCTCAAGTCTTGTATTTTGTCTAGCTGACAATCCGAGGCTGAGAGTTTCGGTTCTTGGCCACTAGGGGTCCCTGAAAAAGGGGCTGTCTACAGTTAGATAGGGATATATAGAAATAGATATTCCGACTTTGGGATTAGTGTCAGGCCAATATGGTTCTTTTTCAATTACTGGAACGAAAATTCAGGACGTCACATCCCATGATGGCTTAGTAAAATACATAATAGATGCTACATACCGCCATGACCCCGTCTCAAGTTGAAGGGCTGCCCCATCAAGAACCCGAAGGACGTCCGAACAACCCACAACTTCACGTTGGTTTCTGCTCTCTTCCAATACAGAACAGACATGCAAGTGGAAGCGTCCTTTCATGAAATGTTAACTTTTTGTTATCCTGGCACGGTTGTGTAAGAACCTTCGAGGCAACCCTACAACAACTTCACTAGCTTCTTGCCTAAAAACTTATAACCAGAAATCTGAATCCCTAGACTGTTAAGCACCTTGACTCCTAGGCCCTTGGATCCATAGCCCCTCCGCTTGAACCCTTACTGCTCAGAAGCATCAAGAAGAGAATGGTAAAGACCAAGAAGAAGTGGAGCATGTTCAGCAAGGCGCCCTTCACGGTCCTGGGTGGCTGATTTAAGGATTAGGGTTGAGCGTTAGGTTTCAGGGTTTAGGGATGAGGCTCTAGTGGTTAAGCAACAAGGCTTTTGGGTTTACGGGCTTAGGGTTTAGGGAGCGGTCAAGTCGCTAATTGATGGTGAACTTTGGAGATAAGTATGCTCATTGCTTTCGAGAGTCTTCGTCAGCATGGCCACACGAGGGTGAGCATTGAAGTACCTGAGCCGTGGAAAGTTGACAACCCAGATTCAGGAGTTTCTGGAAAGCATAATTCCTGTCCCAAGAATTTAGAATTTACAGCAGTCCTTATACTGGTGCTTGACAGAGAGTTGGGCAGCGGAGCACTCCAATGATCAATAGAAAATCCGATGATCCCACCAACCCCACCTACTAAAAAGCACCCCCCCTCAATCAGATATCATTGGGACCATAACTATTCGGGGAAATGCTTACTATGAAAGGCGCAGGGGGTTTCATTGTTAGGGCGGTGGATAAGTTGTCCTTGTGTCATGACCCCACCTCCTCTTAGGCACCAGCAAGTTGTGAGGAGGCTGCTTCTGAAAGACCAGCCAACGGTTCATGATATTCTCTTGTTTTGTGGTGCGAGGGTAAAGTCCTGAAATCTCAATTTACATTCCTATCAAACCCTTCGAGCCCAGTGACGGGTCCCTCCCTAGGAATGAGAAAGCAGGCGAGGACCCACTTTAGTGGCACACAATTAGGTCCCTACACCACAGTGTGAAATTGCAGCCTTGGTACAAGACCATTTGCAGAAACTGGAAATACATCAGGACATACGATGCCACACGATGCCTCTCCAACCAGCCTACCTCATCATAGATCACCGTCTTCACCTGGACTCATCGCAGCATCACTTGTAGGTTAAATGTTGGTTACAAGTGGCCATCTACGCTTCGCTTGCTGTCGCTATAGGGGCCACCAGCAGTCCTACGTGATGCGTACTCGCTCATCATCAGCTGCTTTCCCGAGAGTGTAAAGAGATGAGGGTTGCGAAAAATCCCTCGAATATCAATGAGTTGATGAGAGGATCAAACAGCCCATGATATTACCGGTTGGAAGTTGCTCGTGCTCACGCCAGCGCTAGCGGCCCTGGGCCAAACGTGAAGTCAAATTCGCCACTACCGTTTTGTTTAGGATTGGCGCAGAGGGAGGAAGGCGAAAGGAGGAGCGTAATTACGTCCGTGGTAGATTATGCGTGTGACATGATCTAGCACAAGCTGTTGCAATGCCAAAACCACTGGAGTCAGCAAATGGACCGATGCATGTTTGAGAAACTGTAATACTTCAAATTGAAACATGAAAACAACAGCCAGAGTTGAGCGAAGCGCAAACCTGGCAGAATCGTTCTGGAGATTTTCAGTCAGTCTAAAATGTTGACAGGAGACCGTTCTACCATTGGATTTGCAGCCGCTGTTTATCACGAGGATCCCGGGGGGCACCACTTTTTTGTCACATCCAACTGGGCTTCAATACGGATATGCGTGCAGTCCCATAATGAGGCAACCTTCTGTGCCACCAACTACTACTTTCCATTCTACCTCCCGTTGCACAGGCAAAGCCCCATTAAGACTGCAACTCAGGACCCCCCCATGATCCTCAACTCCAATGAGGGTACAGGTACATATATTGTACCCTGGGGAATCTAGGAACATCTGCAAAGAAATTTGTGGACTCCCCATGAAGGCGCTTTTGAGAACCTTCCACACCTCTGTTGCCCTTCTAGCTATCTACATTGGCCACATTGGGATTCGGGACTGCTTCCTACCCTTCCCGGGGCTGCACCTTGAAGTACTCCTGCATGTTGTGCTTCATGTGCTCATCATCCACACCATCAGAGCCAATGAAGGTTTGGAGTAGAAGGTCGAACTCATGAGACATCAGCATCTGCCAGGGCGTCGTCTTTTCTGCATGTTAGAGGCGTGAGCTTCTGGGCTTTCAAGTCAGGGCCGGGCACTGGTTTTGGCGGGTGTCGGGTCCAGGAGAAGTCGAAGAGCCCTGGTGCTCAAAGAAAACAGACCTCCGAGAAGTACTGAGGCATGAACAAACAAATGTAAAATCACTATTCCGTGAAGCAAGCAGTCTTCAGCACAACACTCCTGTATAGTCTCTGTGCATATACATAACCCCTGCATCATGCCTCCATATGAATCTTAAATGAACCCTCGGATGAAATTCATAGATATCCATAAACCTCCAAGTGCTTCGACGCGTCACATGTGTAAAATCGCCCGTCTCTAATAACAACCCCAACCACCCCGCCAAAAACAAGACATGTTTCCCACGTACTGCTGCTATGCATCTGGGGTTTTACTGTTATCAGGGGGACCAATATGGGCTATTAGACCCTGCAATTCCCCAGCAGGATCCTCATATGCACAGATTCAGAGGCCTTGAAAGTTTAATGACCTAAAATAAACTTCCTTTTCAACCCTAGCTTCGTTCTGCAGAGCTCCCGGAATTTCCAACACGATTACCCTTTCAGCCTGCTTGTAGGTTCATGGATAGCTATAAGTAATGTTAGCTATATCCCAACTACAGTCATAGGTGCCAATAGCTATGGTTATCTAACTTTAGCAAACCAAGTTTAGCTCATCCAAGTTATTTGATTTAATTAGGAGCGCATGTTCCCCTAATCTCCTAGCGCAAATGCCTCCTAACCATGAATATTCCCAATATGGTACCAGTTTATGTGAGTTGAACATGCATCTTTTAAAGGCATAGGACATCATAAGAATGATGAGAACGCGTTATGCCTTTTCATTCCACCTCTCGAAAACCTCGCAACTTACAGTTGCCTCCTTGCGGGGCCCCCAGCAAAACTTGTTGAATTCAGGCCTGCAGCATGGAACCATGTGAAAAAATCACTCCCAAGTATGAAGTGCTTTCTCGAAAGCTGCACAACCAAACCAAACACCTACTGCATGTTACCAGACGCTTGGAAAACATGAACCCTGAGAGGCTTGTCAAGGCGCTTGCTGGCTCCATGAGATCAAGAGGATTGTGGGATAAACCACGAGCAGGATGCGCGAAAAGATCCTTCAAGTTTTGAGGATTATATAGAAGTAAATTGGGGGCTCCTACATGCAGATAGGGTTATATAAGGCCATGTAGGGGGACAAAAAAGGAGGCCACCATCAAGCCAAACAAATCAAAACCTACCCCGAACTAAGAGGTGCAACAACAAACCATCATGTTCCTTAATGAACCACGTTGATGAATAATAGACGATTATAAGCCCGGGTGCAGCGGAGGTGTAGGCTGGGTTTCAAAGCAGAGGAAACCGAGCAGTTGAAGCTCCCCCAAAAAACGAACACAGAAACACACCACATGGCTTAGGGTATAGGGATACGGTAGGGATACGGGCCAGAAACAAAACTGGACCAACAACTAGTCGGACTGCATATCATAAGCTAGCATGAAATTTGTGTCTAGAGTCTGGGGTTTATAGAACATCACCAAGCCATGCTTCGAGATCAGAACCCAAAAACATGCTCAACCATGATCAAGGCTCTCATAGCACGTCAAGCCCCAGTTGCCTGGCTGCGAAAGTAGCTGACTTGCTTCCAAAATAGCATCAGGGATAAGGAGCAAAGATCATAGACTCACGGATACATGCTGATAGCAATTTCAGAGTACCAGATCAATAAGTGAGCTAGCCCAAGCTGACAAAAGGACCCTGAGCCCTCGCTCAACCCGCAACCGCAACCTTTCTTCCGGGAACAGAGAGCAAGACACCAAGGGATCTTGCGAGCAGAACTGTCTGCAAGCACTATCACTGACATGTCGACTTCAGGCAGGTCACTGAGCTACATACTGTAGCTGGCGCTTCTTTCAGCCGAGCAACATTGCTCGCGGTGGCGCAAGAGGTGCACCGTCAACCTAGATGATCTCTCATACAAGGGCTTACAATCCAACGTCGAGGGCTTCCGGGAGGAGACACAACTTCCTGAATGAGCAACGATCGCTCAGAATTCCCAATATCAACTGCTTAGATAAGCGTATGTATATTCCTTCTGGAAATGGCATAGAAAAACCAAACTATGAAAACTTTCCCGACAATGAGCCAGCAACAAAGTGGCGCTGATACCGGCCCCAATGCAGGTTGTGAGCAAGCAACCAACAAAATTTTCAGCAGATGTCAAAATGACATCCTGCCGAGGCGGCAGGTGGGGTCAGGGATGCTTAGGATAGGTAGGGTTTGGGGTTAGGGCTTGTTAACACACGTGGTGTAGGAAAGGCATTGGGATCATTCTCAAGATTGTGGCCCTTTCGGTTACAGCACCTTGTATCTTGCATAAACAGCAGACTTCAACCCAAACCCTAAACCGTAAACCCTAAACCATGAAAAGATAGACCTAAGTTGCTTGAATCGTCAGCAGACCTGGTTGTTGGCAAAGCGTGTCTGAAATATTCTGGTTTAGGGTTGGGAGGGGGGGGGGAGGGGTCCCTGACACCAAAACCTAAAACCCGCAATGTTCAGACCTAAGTCAACTTGAGTCCAAATCTTTGCCTGGAGTTTCATGGGTAGTAGTAGTAGTAGTCGTGGTTGGATATTACAAGCACCCTGGTTGGGGCGCTGTTATCTTGCATATTACTTTACTGAAGCCAACGGAGAACCACCAAGCAGACTCTAAGGTCAACAGCTCAGCACCCAGTTTAGGTCTGAAAGCTTTTAATCTAAAACCTGAGATCGAAAAAGAAACAAGCACTGTAAATACGCACCTGGACTCGTGGACTTAGAGCCGAAGAATGAGGCTTTGGCGCTGGAATTTATGAAAAAGTCTGTATTCCGTTGTTTGACTTTGAGTTCGGAACAAAGGGGTCAGGGTGCATTGACCCTAAAGCCTACGCCCTTACCCTAAACACAAGGCCATACTGATATTCAATGTGCCCCTGAGGGCCCAGGATGGTGTAGGAGGAGGGCTTGTTTAGGGTTTAGGAATTAGGAAATAGGATTTAGGGTTTAAGGCTTGGGATTTGGGGTTTGGGAAACCATTCGAAGAGAGTTTCTGGTAGAACAAAGGCAATGTTTTTTCAAATTTCGAATGACATATTTCAGTATCTTCAGTTTCTCTCAAATCTCTCAAATCTTGTGATGACCATGTAAATTTAATGTCTTTCTATTGATATGGAATATTTTGCCTGCATGAGGCTAATTAGTCCTGAAGTTCCTAGGCTTCAGTTCGAGTTGGGACTTGGGCATTGCCCCCCATGTCACAAGCCCGTCGGGGGTTTCCATACAAGTGGCCCAAGCATGGATGCCAATGCACCATACACATCTCACGACTACGCGAAAAAGGGAAAGTCCCATATATGTTCTCAGAGCAGAATCCATGCTGAGGATTCAAGTATTTGGTTTCTGGTTTAGTGTTTTGGTTTTACGGTGTACAGGGTTTAGGGGGACCCATCACAAAGGTCTGGATCTCTCGTGGTTGAGAGGTCAACCCATGGACCTAAACTCTGACGGATGAATAGCCACCAAGCGAAGTACCAGCACGGAAGACCTGCGGTTAGCCAAATACAATATCCGCCGTCAGCCCAACCCTAGTATGCAGGGATCGTGTCCTTGTAGGTGACCATACTGACGGACCCCTCCACGTTGCCCGCATAGTCGAACTCAAAGGTGACCGTCACAGATGTAAACATCTCCAGGTCCTCCCGTGAAACTGCAATCCCTGGACACATATCAAGTGTAATTGAAATGCCTCTACAGTCAGTTTTTTAGGGGTTTAGAGCGCTACACAGGGAAAGGGACAAGAAAATATAAAGGAGTTTAGGGTTTGGGTGTTGGTTCGGGCTACCAGAGAACCCTGAATCATGCTTAGGTTCATTCTTGCTTTGTGCCTGTGTCATCGCCACAATAACCCTACACCCTGCACCCTACACCAAAACCCAAACAGTGAAGTCCCAAAACACGTCGCGCAAAGTAACTTTGCGCGACTAAATAATTACCAATATCATGTGAGGTCTATTTCAGGCACAAGGAATACAGGACCATGACATTGGTTATTCTTAAGGCTTCTACATTACAACCCCTGCAAGCTCTAAACACTAAACTCTAAACCCTAAACCCTAAACCCTTATCTTTTCCATGCCCCCAAAGACCCCCAACTTCAGGCCTCAGGGTTCTGGGATCCAGGGTTTTGCTTTAGGCATTCATGTCGGGAAGAGTGTCTTCAAACTCCGCGGTTACCGTCCCCAGCTTTAGGGTCAATAGTAGTTTCCATTTTCTTTTCCATTATCCCAAGAATTCCCAGTATGACCCATTGCAATCGCTTCCATTATCCCAATAAGTTTTTGGAAATTCAAGCTTGCTCTCTAGCTTCTAGTAAGAATTGACTCTCAGACTGATGAAGCATGCATATCAGAAAGTCATTGGGCTGCTTAGCCCTGCGACTGCAAAAGACAAACTCGGGAGCCATGCCGGCAGGGCAGCCACATGGGTGGCTGTCAGAATTGTGGTCCCTTCTTGGGTACCCTAAATATTAGGTGTGGTATTATAACAGGGATTCAAACAGGGACCAGAATTTTGACAACCACCCACAGGTAATTCATGCATGCCGAGCCATGACCACACCAGGACATCACCACCCGAGGCGTTTGCTGTTCATCCGCTTTCAGCTATTAAGGACTTAATACCTCCCCGGATCCAAAACCCCATGTCAGACATGCTGTCAGACATGCCAACCTCAACTTCATTGGCTGGGAGTGAGCTTTGCTTGCCGTGATGAGTTCTGGTATGCGCGTCCTCTGTGTAGACCACCGTGCTCACGCAGATTTTCTCAGTTTGGATATCAATCCTGAGCTGCTCTCATCCCCTTCTGATCATGCTTCAGAGCTTGGAGTTCCCTATTCTGTGATTTGTGATTTGGGTCTAGGGTTTAGGGTTTAGGGGACTTCAGGTTCACGTCAACAAATGCCGTGGAGAATCCAGCCAACCTCTTTCATGGCATTGATATCGCGCTTGCTCTCAATGAGCATCTTGGCATATACTGCCTGCAAAGGCAACTTTCAATTCATTGCTTGAGAACTACTAACTGCAAAGTAATTTGGGGGTAAGCGGCTTGGTTGCGAAGCAGATCTTGTGCCTAAATCAGAAACCCTAGCCTCCATGCAAGCTCAACACCCAAAACATGTTAAAACTGTCCACAAGGTCTCACTCTTCAGACCTCCACGGAATAACATGAAAGCCTGCCTACAAAACTTCACCATGTTTCTTTGCTTGTCAAGCTTGCAGGTCCCTGATCAAAAGTCCGTGACATGCATAAGAGGGTTCCGAACTTTCAGAAAGTTCAGCTTCGTCGAGGCTGTGAGCTCCCAACCTCACCTAACAATGACGGATCGTGCATGATCGATTTCAACGTGTGGAAGACACATAATGTGTATACATATATCTATATATACAAGTATACACATATAGGAATATTTCTGTCACTGACTGGGCAGGAGTACTTCGGAGTGTGGCGAAGTGGTGGGCACCTTAGGGATAAAAAAAGGGGAATGAAATTCTAGCATGTGCCAACTGACATTCCATACGATGGATAGACACAATCCTGCTTGACCCATTTACCGGAACCCTCGGCACTGTGATACTACCTACTATAACATACGAGTATTTTGGTTTATGCAGGATTTTGTCCATCAAACACAGGTTGGCATGGTCAACGCGCTGCTTGCTTCATGTTGAAAATAGTCGGCTGCTGAAGAAAAGTCTGTCAATCATAGGGATCATAAGAAGATTATGGGATCCTTATTGGATGAATACAAGTTGTTTCTCTTTTTTCAGAACCAGCCATATAGGGATTGTGAGGAAACTAGAGGGCCTTACGTGTAGGCATGCTTTGGAGAACCCATGAACTTGACCTAAACCCATCTGGGGATTACCAATTATTCTGGGATCAAAATTCGAGGTGATTTAGGCGCCTTGGGGTGGATTTCTGCGATCCCTCTTACGAATTCTATAGGCTTACCCCAACTAACGCTTTCACAAAATGGCCATACTTTCCTGAGAACAAGCAATGGCCCAGAGGATCTGAACGGTTCTGAGGGTATCCAGGGTTGAGGGTTCAAGGTTCCAAGGTCTATTGCTTAGATGCTCGTTCTTCACGTTCATGCTGCCTGGCTCAGGGTCGCCGACCTCTCTCCTAACAAAACCCCATGCAAAAAAGCTGGACTTCGCCCCTCACGTCCCCTGCATTCACACTCTTTCTGATCCAGTCGCAGAGATCGGGCTTGATGTTGAGGATGTCTTGCAAGGCGACTTTAAGTTCTAAAAAAAAAAACATGTGAAAGGGCCAGGGGCCCAAGTAAGGGCGCATACTTCTAACCTTAACCGAGTTGCGGGTGTGGGTCGCACCGCTCTATGGTTTAGGGACCCCTGTAATAAACCTCAGACCCTAAACTCCTAAACCCTAAACCCCTACACCCTATGGTCCCCCTTAAGTAGATAGAATCTGGGGTATATGGGGATCTTATTATATTATACCCAAAGCCATATTCTATCTACTTAAGGAGGACTATAAACCCTGAGGGCTTAGGAGCCTTGCCTCTCCGTGGAAGTCGGTCTTGGCTGTAATTGGGACCTTTCCGTCCACGCAGCGAGTTGCCGGCGTGTGCTCCGTGCAATCTAAGTAGAAAGCCTGGGCTGAATTTAGGGTTTAGACTGGAGAACTTGCTGTGAAGATGTATTCTGCAGACCTGCACTTCTAGTTGAGAGCAGGGGACTGAGAAAGCTCGTTGCACGGAGTTCTACACACTTGTTCTGGCAAGTACATTCTGTAGGCGTTTAAGCTCATCATTATCAAACTTGCTCATGCCTGTGGCAACTCAGCGCTGAAGACTCTTCTAAAAGAGCCAGAATTGCCGGGGCGTGAGGTGCAAAACAACTCCTTAAGGTTCCATGCTTGAAGTTTTACAGAGGCCTATATAGCCTAAATTTGAGGGCTGTGGACAACCACACCCCAACAGCAACAGAAGCTGTGCCATCAATGAATGAATACCACGACTATGACCACTGCGCACAGCAGCACCACCACCGCCACCACCGCCACCACCGCCACCACCGCCACCACCGCCGCCACCGCCGCCGCGGCCGCTGCTGGTTCTTCTGCTGCTACTGAAACGATGACCGCGACCGCTGACGCTACCGGTATCACTACCACTACCGCGACCGCGACCACTACCACTACCACTGCTGCTACAGCTGCTGCTGCTGCTGCTGCTACTACTATTTAGGGCCTGGCGGCGCAGGCCGGCCTGGCCGTCGCCCTTCCACAACCCAGCCATGATGTGAAGACCAAGCCCACCCCAGCCCTGCTGATGCTCCTGATCGGGAGAAATGCACAGCAAAATGCTATTCTTGCCATCTGGCATTTTTTTCGGGTTTGGAAATTCTTTTTTCTCTCAATCCAAAACGGCCCAAATGGGGTCCCAATTGTGCTGATGATGTTCCTGTACGAGGCGCGCACGCGCGCGCCTCGTACAGAAGCATCATCAGCACAATTGGGATCCCATTTTGGCTTGATTGGGACCAGGAGGGGTCAAAAACCCAAGAAAAAGCATCAAAAACAGCATTGAACCACAGACATTGCCCACAGCGTGTATTTTGAGCGTTTTGTTAGGGTTTACAGCGCTTCTTAAGCGCCCAGCAGCCCCGCAAGAGCCAGCATCATCAGCATCATGAGCATCATGGGGCCTGCCTAGGGGCCACAAAAGTGCTGACAGTATGGGCAAAACGCACACGAAAAAAACATGCAACATGCACATTGTATGTTTTGTTGGGGTTTACAGGGCATTTTAAGCGGCCTGCGGCCCCCCAAGAGCCAGCATNNCCAATTTCCTTCTTGACACCACACGTATGAAGCTTCAAGACCCCTCCAGAACCCTAGGTATGTCGAGGCGGCCGAAAGTGAGAAACGAAGGCCCAATTGTGTTGATGATGCTGGCCCAAAAAAAAATGCCCAAAGCCCTCCGTAGCGTGGCGGGAAGCCTCAACGCAGTCAAAAGTCATCGTAATTTTTGACCCCCTCCAGGGCTTCCAAGGGAGGGGGTCGGAGCCAGTGGCGGCACCCTGTATAAGCATAGCTTAGCTGGGCGTGCATCCGCACTGGACCACAACGGCCAGGCCGGACTACTACGACGACGGCAGCGACGACTACTACTACCGCTACTAATACTTCCACCACTACCACCACTACGCTACTAGTACTACTGCCACTGGCGCTACCACTACCGCTACTAATGATAGAAATAACTATGATACGTACTCATACTGGTACTCCTATTGCCACTGCACTGCCACCACCACCGTAACCACTTCTACCCCTCCTCCTCCTCCTCCTCCTCCTCCTCCTCCCACTCCTACTACCTTTCGAATTCTAGTCTTGTTATTCCGACTTCTCGTAAAACAGCTCTCACACCCTGAATCGAAAGACGAGCGCTTCAAATCCTGCAATCCTGTGAAGTGATTAACCGCGGCATTTCTCTGCTTCCGTCCCACGGTGACCACTGAAAGTACTCAGCTTCTTAGAAATGAACCCATGGTGAGGTAAACAAGATACCCAAAACCCACAAATCCAAAATCAGCCCTGCCTGTATACTGTATACCACCCCCTCATTTGGACAGTGCAAACAGGCTTTGTCCCCAAGGAGCGTGC